GAGAGACCACCCACGGAGGGTGAGAAGGGAATTTTATTTTTTTATACATATATATCATGCTGTATATTTCCAACTGGAAGGTGAACCACCAGCCCAGTATTCTCCAAGATTGTCCTGAATTTAACTGCATCCAACTTCCTGTCAACACCGTCCAGATTCCCACAGCATGATACTGCCACCTCTGTCTTTTAAAATGGGAATAGTTTGGTAAGGTTGGTTTGCAGTTTTTTTCTACATATAGCATTTTGTACATTGCCCAAAAAGTGAACTTTTGAAAACATGAGCAGAGCATCTGCTGTGTTTAACGGATGGATTATTGTTGTTTCCTTTCAACCGTTCAACGATCATACCATCTGCCATTAACAATGCAGTCTGGCTAAAGATACATAAATATTAACTATCTGATTGATAGCCATCTTTTTTCTAATTGCAGTCAAAATCTAACCAGAAGTTAATTCATTTTTAGCACAAAATTATAGCAACTGCTGAGTGTCCTGTACCTGTATCGTGCTTTCATCAGTCCAGAGGACCCCAAAGGACTTGGCACTACATTTTATTCATTATTCACCCTTTCATTCACACATTCACATGTTGATGGTGGCAAGAGACCACTGCACTGTTATTCCACCAAATATTGTTTCTGAACTCTTCCTGAGTTAAAACCTTAGTGTTTGTCACAAATTGTTTTGGTTGCTTTCTCATTTTCTGCAAATAAATACTAAATTTTTGGTCAGAATTTTTGGAGACATGTTGTCATGGTTCATATAATAAAAGAATAAAGTTCATTTCACTCAAACATATACCTTGAAGTTTTAGTGTGAGCTGTACTATACAACCTTCAGTACATAATGCACTTCTTAATTAATTTTTATTAAGACGGTACTTTTAGATAAACATAAAAGAGAAATTGTAGAAAAAACAGCCGGAGTCAGAGGCGGGGCACCAGCGTTGAACATGGGGCCCCGCCTCTGAATACTTCAATGAGTCACTTCAAACAGACACATAGAAGTGAAACCCTGTCAGAGCATCAGCTCAGCTGCAGGCCAGACAAACAATCTCAGCAACTGAACCAAACGCTGGTGAGTAGGACCCATTATATTTGCTGAGTTTCAGCAGTGGAGCGCAGCAAAACGTTGTCCTGACGATTGAGTAGCATTACTTGTACAAGTAAAAGTAGTAATCCAAGAAACTACTCAAGCAAAAACGTATTTAGTAAAAAGACTACTTGAGTACTGAGTGACTGATCACAACATATGATTTAATATTTAAAAATGATGACAGATAGGACCAATATGTAGATTTAAGTTAAAATTTTGGTATTTTAAAGACTAAAAATATAAAAATAATACAAATAACCTAATTATAAAATAAATTTACACAGAAGAAACATTTTTCAAACTCAAATGCTTTCAATATAAAATTTATGAAACTAATACTTGTAGTAGGTAATATGTGTATTGTTTGAGAAAGGTAAAGTCCTTTCTGTGACCATATACAGAGCTTACTTTATCTTTATCAGAGGATGCAGCAGACAGAAGATTAAATTAAGACACTTTGTAACCGTTTTATTGTGTCTGGTGCATTTTTGGTTAAAGTCTGGTTGTTAGGGATATGAAATAACATAAAACCAAACTCCTGTTTTACCGTGGGTATTGTGAGTTAAAATGACTGTCGAGTTTGTCGTGTTAAGTGACATATTTCATTTTCATCTATGTTCATGAGGTCCTTATTATTTTATGGAGTTATATTCCTGATAAAGAATCTTACGTGCTGTTTTAAAATGGAGCACACCGCTCTTGGTTACTAGGGAAACTCCCGGGCTTTAGAGTTTCAGAGCTGCTGCGGAGTAGAGACATGCCAGTCTCTGCCGTCCTTCTGCATAGCGCTTGACTTCTTTATGCCTGATATATGATGTTTTCCTGCTAGTGCATTATTGTGGCCGATATCGGGGAAAGGAACACTGGGAAGGTGCTCCTGTGCCTGCGGAGGAAGAGAGAGAGGTCGTGGAGTTTCTGTGTCTGTGGACATCGGCTGCCGTCGTCATTCTGGGTCGCCATCCCAGCCAGGACAACCTCTTTCATCGTTTTGTACGAATCAGACACACACACAAATAGAGAGCTCTATATGAACTATTTTTTTTTGCTGGCCAGCTTCTTTTAATTTAATTTATTCTTATTTTTTTTACCAAGGACCCTGAAAGGATTCTTTATAATCTAAGTTTTATTTTTCTTTCTCTTTGTGGGTTTTCCTAGGAAAATTGTATGACAGTGTGAGACGAAGTTGGATGTGTTTCAGTCCAGTAACTTGCAATAAACATAACTGGTTGATAGTAAACTGCTATCTGAACCCGAGTAGATTCTGTTCTTTGGTTACACAAGCACGTTTCAGTTAGAGCAGAGCCAGTTAACCGGGGAGGAACGTCCAGCTGAAGTCCTGGGAGGCGGTTCCCTCGCTGTTTGCTTCGGACCAGTGTGAACCTGCTGCTTTCTGTTTGTCCTTTTACAACCTCTGTGGGACAATGTCCACATTGTTCTGTTTGTAGAGCAAACCTGTTGTTGTTGACAGCATCTTACCAGTTAAAAACCTTTTTTTCCAAGTTAATTAAGGCTGAATCCAGGCTGTCTAAAGAGATCATCACACTCCCAAAACATGCTGGTATAGTCAGTGAAGGCCACGGAGCCGACAGATCATTTTATAAAGTAGATTCCTCTGTTCCCCAGAGAGCTCTGAAAAACGGCTGTAAATGTTCAGTCTGGGACGGATTCCTGAGCCTTTCTTTCAGTTCATCCATCCATTTGTTCATCCATCTGTTCATCTGTTCATCCATCTGTTCATCCATCTGTTCATCTGTTCATCCATCTGTTCATCCAATGTGTCTAGACAGCAAAATGAAACAACATGCACATTATGCCATCCTCAGACTGTAGTCATATGTTGGATTCCAGATATGAAGACGTGGCCATCCTGACTGACTCCCTCCTGACTGACTCCCATCCTGACTGACTCCATCCCGACTGACTCCCATCCCGACTGACTCCCATCCTGACTGACTCCATCCCGACTGACTCCATCCCGACTGACTCCCATCCCGACTGACTCCATCCTGACTGACTCCATCCTGACTGACTCCATCCTGACTGACTCCCATCCTGACTGACTCTCATCCCGACTGACTCCCATCCCGACTGACTCCCATCCTCGGGACCGTTGCTTCATGTCTCACCTTCTCTGCCTACTGCCTCTCAGATTATGTTCAAATAAAGGCCACTAGAAAAGTCCCTGGATGGATATCTATTCCTCTAACCTTCCACACCATCATATTTTAATTATATTATCTGGGACTTCATGTAAAACACAATAAATCTTCAATTAAAATGGAAACATAGAGTAAATAACGTTCAATAATTAACAGTTAGGTTTACTCTATAAAAACTGTTGGTCAATATAACTACCTTGTGTCATTGTGATAATATGTGTCACTGTGTTGTCTGACTTTTGCAGGAGCAAAGATGACGGCAGAGGAAATCCTTGATGTTTTAGAAGAATTGAGTCAGGAAGAGTTTGAAAAATTCAAGTGGTTTCTACAGCAGCCTGAGATCCTTTCTGGGCTCCCAACAGTTAAAAGAAAACACCTGGAAGGAGCAAAAACCTTTGACATTGTGGACGTGATGGTGCAGATCTACACACTTGAACGGTGCATGGAGGTGACCTGCAAGATTTTAGGGAAAGTTAACAGGAATGACCTGCGGACAAGATTGCTTGGCAACAGGAATCCAGTAAACATGATGTGTCTGCAGCACGATAAACCTCTGGAGCTGTTCTGTAGGACCGACCAGACATGCGTCTGCTTGGTCTGCTCTGTTTCAGACCACAAGAACCACGAGTTTGTTCCTCTGAGTGAAGAGCTGAGAAACACAGAGGCTGAAGTTCAGGAGATGATCCAGGAGAGACGACTGAAGATCCAGGAGATCAGAGAGTCGGTGAAGATCAGTAGAGATGCTGCAGACAGAGAGAAAGCAGAAGGTGTTCAGGTCTTCACAGCTCTGATGGAGTCTGCTGAGAGAGGCCTGAAGGAGCTCCTCAAGGAGATCCAAGACAAACAGGAAACTACAGAGAAACAGGCTGAAGACTTCATCAGAGATCTGGAGCAGGAGATCTCTGAGCTGAAGAAGAGGAGCTCTGAGGTGAAGCAGCTCTCACAGGATGAAGATCCCCTCCACCTCCTCCAAAGCTGCTCCTCCCTGAAAGCTGCTCCACCCACCAAGACCTGGACAGAGGTCAGAGTTCATCCACCATACTATGAGGGGACTGTGGTGAAAGCTGTGGTTAAGCTGGAGGAGAAGATTGGGGAGAAGATAAAGGAGCTACTAAAGGCTGAGCTGAAGAGGGTCCAGCAGTTTGCAGTGGATGTGACTCTGGATCCTGATGCGGCTCATCCTAACCTCATCCTGTCTGATGATGGGAAACAGGTGAAACATGGAGATGACTGGAAGAATCTCCCAGACAATCCAGAGAGATTTTCTACATATGTGAATGTTTTAGGACAGCAGAGTTTCTCCTCAGGCAGATTTTACTTTGAGGTTCAGGTTAAAGGAAAGACTAAATGGACTTTAGGAGTGGCCAGAGAGTCTGTAGACAGGAAGGGAATAATCACTCTTTGTCCTCAGAACGGTTTCTGGACTGTTGGGTTGAGAAATGTAAATGAGTATGAAGTTTGTGATGGACCTCCAGTCCATCTCCATCTCCATCCTGGTCCTCAGAAGGTCGGGGTGTTTGTGGATTATGATCAGGGTCTGGTCTCCTTCTATGATGTAGATGCTGCAGCTCTGATCTACTCCTTTACTGGCTGCTGCTTCAAGGAGAAACTCTACCCGTTCTTCAGTCCCTGGCCTAATGATGAAGGTAAAAACTCTGCTCCTCTGATCATCTGTCCTGTTGGTCAGGATGAATGTTGCTCTGATAGTTATTCATGGTTTCCTTCATTTGGAATGAATCTGTTTGTGACAAACTTCCAATCTGAGTGATTCTGTAGTGAAATCTTAACATGACCATCTGATTGGATCATCCTCAACCTCAGATCCATGCATCAAATTATTAGCTCTTATATCCATCCATTTTCTAACACCTTGTCCCTTAGTGGGGTTGGGAGGGTTGCTGGTGCCTCTCCAGCTAACGTTCTGGGCGAGCGGCCGGGCCATCCATCCACATGAAAGGTATAAATGATTAAAGAAAGGACAGAGAACAAAGTTATAATTAGGCAGAAGCTCCAGCTGTCCTGTCCATAGTGTCCTTAAGTTTCTAGTCTCTAGTTTTCCTAAAACTAGACACAGAAATGAATTTAAAACACTGTAGACAGAAGAAAAAAATCCATAAATAAATATCAAATATACAATGTCTGAGATATGACAGATCCAACCTTCCCCTCTTAATTAAAAGAGCTAACAAAAAGATTTCAATAAGGAGATCACAAAATAGGGAACTTCATGTGCCTCAGAGTCTCAATTCCTCAATTCTGGGAAATTGAGAAAGTTGGGTTTCCTGACTGAGGCAGAGTGTTTGGGCAAGAGTGTGTAGGTGTGTGTAGGTGTGTGTGTGTGTGTGTGTACTTCCATCATCTTTTAAAACTACTATTTAACCTGTCTGTCACGAGAGGACCCAGATTTGGGTCCTCTAGTGACAGGGGTGTCAAACTCCAGTCCTCAAGGGCCGCTGTCCTGCAACTTTTAGATGTGCCTCTGCTGCACCACACCTGAAAAGAATAATTAGGTCATTAGCAAGGCTCAGGAGAACCGATCTACACAGGGAGGAGGTAATTAAGCCATTTCATTCCACTGGTTTTTACCTGTGGCACATCTAAACACTGCAGGACAGCAGAGGACTGGAGTTTGACACCCCTGTCATTGTGAATGACAACCTGAGACCAACAGGTTAATAATCATAAAATTAAATTTTTATATTATTTAATTACAGTCAAATCACAGAAATTTTGACTGTAGTTATTTTAACAGTCATTGGTTAAATAGAGAGACTCAGCATTAGGATGATGCAACTCCACAATGAGAACAGTATGAGAAATAAGACCAGATTGGATGAATAGATGGCTCTAATAAGATTTTGTTATTTTCTCATTTTTGTTAGTATGAAATAAATAATCAAGCAGCATCTAATTAATTCTATGGTGAAGAATCAAGCTTAATGGTGAAATATTAATGTTTAAAGAAGTAGAGCCAGCATATTGTTAGTCATCCACATTTATTTGCAGTGATGAGAAATAAAACTAATAGATTTAAAATGGCTGCGACAGACAGGTGACCCGTCCAGGTGACCCCGCCTCTCACCTGGAACATTAGCTGGAGAGGCAGCATCTCCTGACCCCATTAAGGGACCAGGTGTTAGAAAATGGATGGATGGATTTAAAATGGACAGTTATTGTTATGTCCTTTTAGATAAAAACTAGTTTGCAGAACCAATTCATTAATAGAGTTTTAGAGGTCTAACTATAACAATAATTCAAGGAAATGCCTAAAACCAACATGACAAGTCTTTATTTAAAACAATGGAAGTGCTAAGCTGTTTGGTCTAATGAACTTTGTTTCAATCTTTTTCTTTCTGTTGAATCATAAGACATGATAATCATGGAAAACAAGGCAAAGTTAATCTAAGGTTTAGAAGTTATATAACTGAGAAGTTGAAGTTATAAGCAGTTAATAGAAAGATGACATTTCATAACTGAGGGAAACTGAATGCTGCAGATGCACGAATGATGATACCAATAATTGGGAACTAAAATGATGTACAAAGTAAGTCTTTGTTGTTTAAAGCAAAAAAATATTGGAATTTGTGGAAATTTGATTATTTAGATTCTCATCTTTCAAGAAGTAAAAAGTCTGATTACATGAGCTCAACAAAACTGTGTGAGGTTTTGATTGGTTGCTTGGATCAAGAAAGTAAAAACAAAACAAAAACCCTGACAGCTACTTTTCCAGACTTCTAAAATGAACTACGTCTATTTCCAAGCACAAGTCATAATGGAGAAGAAGCTGCCATGACGGGCAACGTGGCTGAGGGTGGTGGCCTGTAGGCTGCTCAGTCAGGCCAGACCGTCAGAGAAAGATGCATGTTCAGGCATGAAGGCAAACAGGCTGAATGAATTCCCCAGTACTCCAGCTTAAACGGACCGTTTGCTGCTTAAACAGCCTCATCAGGCTGAGGAGATCCAGACTTTGGTTCTGGACCAGAACCACAGCCAGTCACATGTTCCTTCTGAATCATTTTATTGTGTTTTATTCTCTTTCCTTGAGAGAAACTGAACTGTTGGTTATGTTATTGAACATAAGTCAAATACATGGCGACTCACCTTGGGATTATTGATTTTACTGTCTGAATTTTTATCTTATGCTGTGCTTCAAAGTATTTGTTTACTTTGATGGTAGCTGGTATTTGGATTGTTTTTATTTCATGCTCAGTTTACTGTTTTTTACTTTGGACAAACTGGAATAATGTAGCAGGGGAGAGACCTGGACATCTGGTAACAAAAATAAATAGTACAAGCCTCATTGTTCTCTTCTCGTTTATTTTAAGTGAAGCCTGGCATAAAGCTACATCACGGTTTGAACTACACACTGGAGAATTAGCCTATCTCTATTAGGTTCTTGATGTATGAGGTTCAAAAAGAGTCAGTGAGTTGAATTCAGGAATTCCTTTTATTAATACTAAAATGCAGTGCTGGTCCATTTTTCATATTCTCCTTACGAGAGACGACAGTAAAATGGCCCCGAACAGTTTTTAGTTCTCTTTGTTGGCCTCTATCTAAGCTACACCCTATAGGGCGTAGCTTAGCCTGTCATTTCCTTTAGCCTTAGCTTTGTGTGCATGTGCTCTATATGTGTGCGTGTGTATACCGTCATGTTGGGTTCTAGTCTCTTTACCCACATACAGAACCTAATCAGGAGAACAGATAATCAGATAAAGTTTATTTTAACAATGATGAAATGTGAGATTGTGTGGTTTTTGTCCTGTAGAAGGAAGCTGGGGTCGTCTGCTGAAGAACCGTGAGAGAGAGATGGTGAGTTTGAGGTATGTTGGACAATGGAGATTCGGAGAAAAGTGGACTGATCTTACTTGATATGAGAGCCAAACATCCCGGTTCCCAACATATACGAGCATGCTAAAGATAAAAGCTTTTGGAGTTAAAAGCTAAAGCTTTTAACCTTGGAGTGGCCCACTCCAAGGTTCTGGAGTGGCTCAGCCAGCCTGCAAGCTTAAACCCCATAGAAAATTTTCGGAGGAGCTCAAACTCCATGTTTCTCAGCGAGAGCCCAGAATCCTGGTTGATCTAGAGAAGATCTGTGTGGAGGAATGAACCAGGATCCCTGCTGCAGTGCAAACCTGGTGAAAAACTATAGGAGACCTTTGACCTCTGTGACTGCAGACAAAGGCTACTGTACCAAATATTAACATTGATTTTCACAGGTGTTCCAATACTTATTTCCAGCAGTAATACACACATAAATTATTTTAAAAACTCATACATTGTGGTGGCACAGAGGTTAAGTACAAGCCACATAAGGATGCCTTAATTCTTGATGTCGCAGGTTTGATTCCCAGCCTGGTGACCTTTGCTGCATGTCTTCCCTCCTCTCTCATTGCCCACTTTCCTGTCAATTCACTATCAAACAAAAGCCACTAGAGCCACTGAAACCTTAAAAAAATCATACAATGTGATTCTGTCACAGTGGACATGCAGCTAAGATGAAACTTTCAGACCCTCCATGATTTGTAAGGGGGAGAACTTGCAATGTCACAGGGTTTATATAAAATACTTATTTTTTCACTGTACATGACAAGTGTTGTTAATTGAATTCAGTGATAGTCAAACCAGACCTTTCTTCTTGCATGATAGTAAATACAGTAAATGTCTGGAGTTTCCTCAGAACACTGAGCTCTGCAGTTCAACCAGTGTAACAGGAAAAACCTTATTGTGTTTAGGATCAGTTCAGGCCCGAGGCTGGAGCCTCAGGCATGTGCTGAGTTTCAGTTAACTAAGTTCAGCTTAGCGTTTAGTTTATTAAAGGAGAGAAGAAGCTTCAGATCTCACTGAAATGATGGTGAAAAATTCATTGTTTATGCCTCCATAATTACAAAGATAATAAAGCACATAAGAAAAATGTTGGTGTAGATTCTCAGGGATCCTGAACATCATAATTTTGAGATTTGTGTATCAAGGAAACTGTGTATATATTTACGCCCAGATTTTTAAAGAGTGAATTGGAGTAGGAAAATTAAAAAATAATGTGTATATTTGTGCAAAGAAAGCAAGGACAAACTATTTACTAGAAGTTAAAAAATGGCAAGAAGGAAATTGCAAATAACAGCAGGGATATAAACACACTGAATTTGTTGAGCAGTGATGGTTTTAAAGTTGCTGGAGGAAGGATTTCCAATAAGGCTATGCAGCAGTCTGTCACTAAACGAGCTCTCCACTTAATCTCTTTCTTCAACTTCTTTTCACAAGCAATTAAAACGTTTGTCAAGTTTCACACTTCTAAACTATTTTACTTTTGGACTGAAGGAAACAAACGCACCCCATGTGACCCATATCCGATCTTTTCATGACTGTCTGAACAGCACAGGTTGGATTCCTTTCAAATGCCCTATCTGATACGTATCTGATTCAAATGCGACCTAATATTCAGGTCGCATTCATCTGACCTGAATATCACCGATACTCGACAAACATCACTATTTTATATCCTGATACATGGAAGCAGAAAGAAAAACAACAACTATGATGAACTATAATAAGTAAGTAAGCAAACTTTATTTCACAGACATAAAAAGTCACAAAGTGCTTTCCAAAAAAGGAAACACTAATCAGTTAACCAAAATTAGCTGAAAGCCAGTCCAAAGAAATAAGTCTTGAGACTTTTTTTGAATGAGTCAGTCGACTCGGAGCAGCGCATTGCTGGAGGGAGAGCGTTCCAGAGCCTCCGACTGAAATGCTCTATCACCACGGGTTTCAAATAGGGCTGCCACCTTC